CTGCAATTTTTATTGGCTCCGAGCCTAATTTTTGTAGATCCTTAGCCCGGGATTTTCTTGACATAAGGGAATCCGTAATTTACTCAGTAACTCACCATTTTGGTAACACAATAAATTACCGTAATTTTACAACCCGTCTTATTTCTATAATTTCACTTTACGTAAGGCATACGTAATTTATGACGTCATAAGTGACGTAATAATAAATTGAAAGTCCTCATTATCGTTTACGTTACTGGCAAAAATATGTAAACGTAAATTCGTGGGGCAGATCAATTATGCATTTAGATAAAACAAAACCACTTTCTACTTTTCGTTAAGAAGTTTTTTCAGATAGAAATTTATGGCACTAAAAAAAAAAAAGAAAAATACGGTATAAATACGCCAACTCGAATATGAATGGCGAAAAATTGCTCATATTAAAAATTTGATTTAAAAAAATGGGTATGGTTTAAATATTGATAAAATGAAGTCTAAACGTAAAAACAAAATTTTTATATTACTTTATTATTAGGTTTTATAATAAAATATGAAAATAATAAGCCTTCACTGAAAATTTGTGAATCAATTTACCGCACGACGGCCGAATTAAACAGTATTTTAAAATCTACACCAAATGATGTAATCGCACTAAAAAATCGAGGACTTACCGACTTAAATAAATTATTAGAAATTAATCCAAGCGATTCATCTATATTAAGTTATCGTGGGTTGGTTTATCACATGATAAGAAGATTTCACGAGTCACTTGTAGATTTAAATAAATCATTGGAAATAGATCCTGATAATGTGTTTGCGTTGAGTTGTCGTAGTGCAACTTATTATGAGTTGGACACGTATGAAAAATCACTTGAAGATTTAAATAAATTATTGAATATTCAGCCAAATAGTGCTACCGCCTTAAATAATCGTGGAGAAACTTATCGCATGTTAGGATTATATAAGGAATCGCTTGCGGATTTAAATAAATCGTTAGAAAATGAACCTAACAATGCATTAGCATTAAGGAATCGTGGTTTAACATATTACAGGATGGGGAGTTATGAAGAATCAATAACAGATTTTACAAAATCTTTAGAAATAGAACCAAATGATACATTTGTATTACGAAATAAGGGGAAAACTTATTATAAAATGGGTAGACATCATGAAGCACTTTTAGATTTAGACGAAGCATTTGAAATTGAATCAAAAACTATATGGATAATAAAAAGTGAAGAAATATATCGAATAATTAGCAAATATGAATCAATACTTGCAGAATTTACTAAATCTTTAAAAATTGATCCAGATAACGCATTTGAATTAAAAAATAGAGGTGCTACTTATCGTATATTAGGTAGATGTTATGAATGGCTTGCAAATTTTGAAATTTTATCAAAAATTAAGTCAGGCAACGAACGTTTACTGAAAAGTAGAGACAATTATAAAAAAGCTCTTGCGGATCTAACTAAGTCATTGGAAATTGATCCTAATAATGCTGATACTTTGAAAATTCGTGGTGAAACTTATTATATTATGAGTAAAGATAATGAAGCGCTCGTAGATTTAAATAAATCTTTAGAAATTAACCCGACCAACGCATCTGCACTAAGAATTAGAGGTGCAACTTATCGCATGTTAGATAAAGATAAAGAATCACTTGAAGATTTAAATAAATCATTAGAAATTAGGCCAAACAATGCATTGGCACTTAGGCAACGTGGAAGCGCGAATCTTTCATTGTATAAATATGATAATTCAATTAAAGACTTTAACTTATCGATAGAGATCGAGCCAAATTACGCATGTGCATTAGGTGAACGAGGAAAAACTTATAGAATGATGAATAAACACAGCCAATCACTTATTGATTTAAACAAATCATTAGAAATTGATCCTACTAACGCGTATGCGTTAAGAAGTCGTGGAAGAGCTTACCGTGATATGAATAAGTATAAAGAATCGCTTTCTGATTTTAGTAGATCTTTAGAAATTGAACCATACAGTGCTTGGGCATTAAGAAATCGAGGTGAAATTTATCTCATGTGTGGGTTTGAAGAAGAATCATTTGCAGATTTTAAAAAATCTGTAGAAGGAGGGACATAATCGAAGTGATTGTAAAGGTAATAAGGTAAAGTTTATTAAATTCATTAGTTATTAAACCTTAAAGAAAAAATAATTTATCGTCAAAAATACTCAATTTACATAGTTATCACGGCATTCACTCACCAGGTTCGTGAATTTGATTGAGTATAATTATTACAGTATTAGTAATGTATTATATATTAATAAGATTTAATTAATATATGCAGTTAAATCTATTATTGTCTCTGTAAACATCGATGCATAATCTGGGTTGAATTAATCATACAAGAGTAAATAATTATATGTAATTAGCACGTTGCAAATTATGAATCGAAATCAAATATTAATATTTTTAAATAGTTTGGCATTCTTATATTATACAATAGTTTTTTTAGATATCGGTATCACTGCATATAATGTTTTTGCTCATATTTATTGTCATAGGTGATCATGAAATCGGATGATGAAATTTGGGCCTAATTTAATGTGAAATTTTGTAATTTTTAGTAGAGTTGCTTAGAAAAGAGTATAAGTAGGGTTATATTTTCAAAAGGAGACACCAAATTTCACCGTCATCCGATTTCACGATCATCTGCGAAATTTATTGTTTTAAAGATCAATTTAATTGAATAGCAAGATATAATAACACAGTTATTTCTATTTATTATTTAATTGGAATTCAAGACGGGATTTAAAATATTAATTTTTATTGCAAATTGAGATTTTGAGAAATTTGAACAAGGCAAAAAAAATATAATAGAGTCTAGATTATGTCGTTATAGGAAAATAAATATTAAAAAATAAAGTTCAAGAATTTAACCATCAAAAAGAAATCATGTTTATGTCTGTTATTCAAAATTTTATATTAATAGATCCGGCGAAGAGGTACAAATTATTAACAATATATATATTGCAATTACGTATATTTAAATTGTGCATCAATTTTTTTAAAATTTTTATTTTATTTATATTTTCAGTATATTCTATAACACAGCATCCAATATCAGACTGTTTATATAATGTTGAATTGGGATAACACAACAATCAATAAAGCCAAATGAATTTAGCTGTGAACATGAAGGAAGAGCCTTTTATAAATGAAGTTTAAAATAATGACTTGGTGTATATGAGAATTAGAATGAATATCTAAGGAGATAAGACGGATAAATTTCACAATAATGAGACATAAATTTTGTTTTACAAGTCTAATAAGCTTAAACAAAAAAATATATAATAAATATGTGATAACCCCTTGATTGAAATGAAAAAATTAATAACAAGAAAAAAAAAAAGCATTAAATGCACTTTAAGAAAAAGCCTTGTATTTATAACCTATTCTCATCATATCTCGAGATTTGATTTTCTGCAATTCAAATCGCACCTCATAACAATACTAACACGTCGACCATACTGATGATATCCACATTTATAATTCTACTATGATATCACAATATGGATAAATAAGTATGTCAAACTACAATTATAGATATTCAATACAAATATTTACAAAGACTTTTAAGAATAATAGCTACGTAAGTATAGAATGCTACATGATAAGCTATCGCTGCACTTAAAATTCTGATATTTTGTTTAAAATTACTCCTGTATTACCAAAAATGCAGCTACAAAGTAAGGCTAGTCTATTAAACACTATATTGATTACTTGTTTGTCTTGAACTTAGAAGTTCGTAAACAGAATAAGTCTGACCAACTTGTATTTCAGATGGAAACAAGTATTTTGCAATTTTTAAAGAACTGCTCGAAGGCCAACAACCCAAATCCTCATCAATTATATAGTTGATTAGTTTATCATTTGTGGATATATATTCTAAAGATTCGGCCATCAGATAACGGGCCAAAAATCGCTTCAATGCAATAAATAACTCACAAGCAGAAATTTGATTCTTAAATTGCTTTTCAAAGGCAATAACTTCAAGGATCTGAATATTCATGTTACGCGATAATGGTTTCCTATACTTTGCGTCTATGTCGTTAAAACTAAATGCTTTCATACTTTCCGCCCTTTCATATAGGCTAATAAGGTGTTTGAGGCGTAAATCAGCACTAAACATTCCACAAAACTCTGCATTTTCTGTAAAAATTGACAAATTCATTTGTTGAGAAATATAACCCTTGATAGATATCTCACCATTCATTTCAAAGTTGACATTACATATTATCATTTCTAAGGCAGGGAGCATTCTAGATGCATTCTCAGACGAAAATAATTTATCAAGCACATGGTTATAAAGGTCTGAAGAGTTTATACTTGCAATTGGAAGTGGCTCTTGAGCAACAAATTTTTCGAAATTTGTTAAAATGTTAAAATCCCGCAAGAACATCTCTTCATAATAAGGGAACCGAAATGATGTGTTAAAAGTATTACTAATAAGGAATTTATTAAAAACCAGCTGATGTGCAAGTTCTTTTTCAATTTGATATAGATCAAATACTATGTCCTCTCCATAGCGGATCTCTAAATTCCGTTGGCTATATTGCAATATTTTGTCATTCCATTCGTAGTCGATAAAGTTGGTAGGCTGTGCGTGCTGAATCTGAACTGTTTGAAGATAATATTGTATTCCATCATCATTTTGGGCTGTAGATGTTGAAGGTATGTTTTCTACATTAGTTTCTAAAAATTTGAGCGAACGACACAAGCCAAAAGGAATAGCGATTGTTTCATCCAAGAACTGATTTTGCAGTTCAGTCAGATAAGAAATAATTGCGCAAAGGTAGATCCCAACATCTTTTTCTTCTGCCAAACCAAACATAACTGATGAGCTGTATGATATTTGGGGAATTGTCTCGAATTGTAGACATTGATATCTTTTTACATATGGTACCACCATATTCCATGACTCTGCAAATGCTTTAAAAGCAGAATTCAATGCTAAAGATATTTCTTGGAGCTCACCGTTGTTTGATTCTTGGCTTATAAAATTATCAAATGTCATTTCACGAGCTTCTTGCCTGGTAATTTGATACTCTAAACGTGTTTTAAGAATTTGGACAAACTTCAAAATTGGAAAAATGTTTTTTATGAGATGCAATTTCTTTTTGTATCGGAAAAAAACCCCCAAGAAAGGAAATTTAGCTTTGTTATTATTATCAATTAAATAGTAAGCACTTAAACTTTTAAAATCCACATCTTTGATCTTTCTCCAGAGCCTAAGCAGATTTTCATGATGGTATTTTTGGTCCTTTACTGACAAAATATCATCGATCTCTTCCTCAGTCAAACTTATTCTATCTTTCGACATTTTATTCCGGATATTTTGTGTCATAACTACTACATTAGGAATATCTATTTCTTTACTAAATTGAAATTCCCATTCTTCTCGTTTTTCTGGAGTATCCAATCGCCATTCATATGATGCCGGTTTCTTGATCATTGAGGAAATAACAGAGTGCAAAATTAGGGCCAATTGTTCATTGTTACAATTAAAAATCTCCTTAAGTATCTTCCAGTCATTGCGAATATGATTAAGGCAATATTTCATTGGGCATCCTACACTATTACCATTCTTTGCGAAAAACTTTGATGCAATGGATGATGGTACAGATGCACCAAGAAGTGTATGTACGAACAAATGTAAAATGCGGTAGGCTTGTGGTGTCATCATACGAACATTATGTGTTTTTTCATTTGAAATTCGTTTAACTATGTATCCAGGATCGTGCTTGATTGGTACGGATGTAATCTTTTTTGCGTCCAAACGTGTATAATCACCTTCAATTGAACCATAGCCAATCACTTTCTTACACTTCAGGCATTTACCTGAAATACTAAGAGTAAATGAGAGCATTAGATAATTTAATTAGTATTATTGTTTTTTAAAGAATATAAAATATTTTCCTGTTCTATATAATTAATTATACCTAATAGAATTTCTTTCTCCAGGTTTTGCAAAGTCTCCACAATCAAGAACGATAAACTTTTCACCGCATATGCATCGATACCTTTTGAATCAAACAGTTCAACATATTCGTTATACTACATGTAAAAAAATGCTAGGGCTTAACAATATTTAACATATTACCTGGTAACACCGCTTTCCGCACCGTTATCATCTCTTTTGAGAAGAATAAATGATAGTTTATAGCTGTATCTCGAAAAAATATAATAAAAGAAACATTATACGAAATTTTGCAGACTTTATCTAATTCTGAGATTTTATAATTTAAATAATTTCATATATATCCTATTATTATATAGAATTAGTATATGAAATTATTTCAAAAAATCGAATACTTCAAAATTTAGTAAAATTCTGCAAATTTCTATAAAGATTTTCTGTAAACCAGTACCTGAAAGAAGCAACTGCATTCATAACAACACCTTCTACGTCTGAGGGACATGTCAGAATAAAGTCATTTTGACAAACTTGTAACTGATGAAGATAAGCTGCAAGTGGACTTGTATCATTCTGAATGGAAGAATGCAGTATTATTAAATGCACAATGACTGATTTCATCAGAAATTCGTCAATTGTATTGTCTTCGGGGCTGACTTCATCTTCTTCAAGTAGTTGAATTAAAGAATTAGAATTTGATAGCAGCTTTTTAAGCATATTTTTATATATTGGCGAAACATTCATGGCTTCTATTTCCGTAGTCAAGCAATTAACTATTCTCTTTTCATTGTCTGTCCATTTGCGTGAAGCCCTTATATAATGTAGACGGACGACAATTACTCCAGCAAATGTAACGAGATCATTTTTTTGCAATAATTTATTATTTGGCCAACCAAAACCCCAATCAAGAATCTTATATATCATATTCGGCATTTTTGATCTCTCCATTTCCAGATATGATGCAAAATTCATGTTAGTGTCAGCTTCATAAATGTTATAAATGTGATAATAGTAATCCTCTGCGTATTTATAGTCTTGATGCAACCAATATGGGTTGAAAGAAAGTCGATTAACCTTATCGCCCCAGGATATTTCTTTAAGCCAGGGGAATGGTTGCTCTTGTGATTCACATAGGTCCTTGATATCTTGCATTGAAAAATCACAGGAACGAAGGTATTTTAGAAAATATATTTTAAGAGAATGAATTCTCGAACATTTTAACTTCATGAGATCATTAATGTCACGTATAATTTCACTTGTGCAAGTAAAAGAGGGCACTTTAGCTTTGAAAGTAGATTTTTTGTTGCGAAAATTTCGTACATATTCTTTCAGTGTAATTTTGTTTTCATCGCAAAAGGTGCGTACATATTCCTTTAGAAATGCAATAGCGGATATAATTTGTAATGGTTCTACAATAGTGATAGACAACGAATTAACAGCGTTGGAAAAATTATGATGCAGTTCATCTAGCTTATGATCAACAAAGAATGTTTTTTGGATGATATCACAAGACAATGCGGCTATTTTCGAGTCTAAATCATTTTCTCTTAATAGATCATTGATAATCTTCAGATCCAGTGAACTTTCAAAAACTATCTGTGGAGTTTTGATCAAGTCAAAAAATGCATTTCTATGCTCTTCTTCTTGATATTTTTCATTTTCTGTGAAGAAAATATACCTAATGATAGGACTTGCAAAAACAAAAGGCCTATTTTCAAAAAGTAGTTTATAAAAAAGTTGGCGAATCGGAAATGTGGGTGCCATAATACCAAGACAACGACTTATGAACAGCATTTGCACAAATTTTAGTTCCTTTGATTCAAGACTTTTCAAAATCTCAATGACAAATTGTTCAGATAACATGTTTTCTGTATCACGTCTTAAAATTGACCTAACAGTCCTTCTAAAAGATGATGGAACAGTTATTGCATCTAAATTTATAAGGTCGTTGCAAATACACAGCAATTGAAATGATGGAAGGTTAGCCAATCCAGGTATAGTAGTACTAATGAATAAGAGCTCATCAACTTCGTGTTGCCATCGTTCTAAATCATTTCTTACATTGGCGTCTAAAAGAATATCCCAGTCTAAAATATACCGTTCGATTTTTTTGGGATTTTCTTTAATATTTTTATTGTTTTCCTCCTGGTGTTTTGTTACGATAAAGCTGAATATTTTCTTATATTTAGTGTAGATATTATTCATTATTGTGTGTGGAAAAATATTTGATGCTTTGTACGAAAATTTTAATATTTCTTCTTGGAGGTATTGTTCAATTACTACATTATTAAATATTTTTTTGTCATTAACCGGAAAATTGAAAGCAAGGGCCTGTTTAAACTGCATTCCAGCACGTTTTATAAATTCATCGGCTTTATTTTCCCAAGCGGTACTATTATTCTCCACTAACGATTCCAAAAATGAGTCTGCCAATATATGCAGATTGCCAGGCAGCGCTGTATCTTCATAAAAGTTATTAAAAGAAGCATATGAATTAAAATATACTTCTTCGCTTTGCTTAAATGATATAAGCCACTCAGACTTAAGCTTGTTTTCCTTCATTGGTAATCGCTTTTCTAATTTCTTAACTAACTTTTCTAAGTATTCTTTCATTTTATTTTCTGCAAAAGAAATAATTTCTTTTTCATTTTCTTTTTCAAGGTACTGAGTTTTTCTCTGCACAAAATTCTCAAGTTCTTTTCGATATTGCTGTACGAGATCCTTTGGAATATCCCTGACTATCTCATTAAAGTCACACCATAGCAGTTGAGTCGGTTCGTTGAGTAACATTGCAAGATCAGTTTTTAAAAGTGGGAACTCTATACTAGATATATATTCATCAAATTGTTTCTGAAGGTTTTGCACTTCTATAATTAGTTTTGTGAATTTCGTTTTGAGATCACTTGTTATTAAGCAGGCTGATTTGCTATAAATTGCATAAATTTCATTCACTACTTTGTCAGAAAAACTTTCCAATTTCAACATTTCTTTAAACTTTTCTAATTCTTTGCATAAACATGCACTAATGCCTTCATAGTCACATCCTTCTGCTTTATATTGAAATTTCATTTCGTTAATAAGTGCACGAAAATCATTCAATGCATTTTTGGCTAACGTCTTAGCGCGAATATATTGCATTCTCTCAAAAATAGAAGTAATTGCATAATTTTCCGAGCTAGTGAGTGTCTTGCACAGTAATTCAGTAAACTCAGCAATATCACGGCCAGTCCATGGTTTCTCTATTAATGTTAAAAATCAGAAAGAATTATTGTATAAAAAAAAAAAATTAATAAAATTTCCTACCGGCACTATGTTTTGGTTTATTAATACTCAATTGTTCAGAAATTTTTTTGCGCATATCTCTAAATGTTTGCTTCCAATTATCATTGAAGTCCTCAAAGAGTAATCTTTCGCGGGCTTGCATTAGGCCATTTGCCGGAAAAAGCCATATCTAAAGGTTAAAATGACAATATATAACATCGTACGCAGTGCATTTATTTTGATACCGTACATATTTAATAATTTCAAGTCCATGAATTAAATTATAGATATAATTTCTTACATCAATACTTTCAAAACAATCATTCAACAGTTCACGAATGCTGTTGTGTTCTTTGTCTTTCTCTCTATTAACAGCTTGTGGCTCTAACAGTAACTTTTTAACGTCATCTGGTGTATTGTTATTATTCCAAGAACTGAAAATAATATGGAGATGACCATATGGTTTTGTATTTTGGTGCTACACGTAATATAACAAATGTAAACTTTAGTGGCATTACAGAGTAGTAAATGAATTAAATTTTATAACCTACTTGATCCTGAGTGCCTCGTGTGATTCGTTTCGCCGAAGTTGTTATTGCACCCAGATTATTAAGTATTGTATTTAATTGAAGCATTCCAGGCCACCAGAAAATTACAATTTTCGAAGTTACAAGGATTGGAGAGAAAAGATAAATATCAAACTCATCGCCCTTATCTAATAAACATTTAAAAAGCTTTGTTATGTTCTTAAAATGCCTAGTCAAGTTGAGATACAATTAGCTTACTGCCTTGTCCTTCTGTATCGATAAATCCAACTAAAATATTGCTGTCAATTTCTGGATTATCGTTTAACTTTGAAAATTCTCTAAGTGGCAAGAATGTTTCGGAAATATCAACTCCTGTTGTAACTGTCTCTAGAGCAGAAGAGGACTTGAAAATCTCATTATCATGATCATCCACACCAGCTATGATATTCATGAACGTCGATTTTCCCGTTCTTGAAATTTGATATAACTATTAGAAGGCGCACTGAAATTTTTAACTGACAATAAATTATTACCTTGCCGGGCCAAAAATTGAGATAAGATTTACAGTTTCATTCTTAGTAGAAAGTAAGTCGGTGGCATTCTTTTCAACTTTAATACAGATATCGGATTTTGCGACTTCATTAATATCATCATCTTGACTTTTGTTGTACTCATCACTGATCACTATCCATTTTAAAGAATTCATATTTAGAACTTTGAAAGTACTAGTTTTTGACATTGAATATTTATATTGATATCTGGTTAATTATTTCCCTGAGCGTAGAATTATACTTCCAGTGCAGTCAGTCATCAGGGACAGGAAGTTATTTGAGTTAGTTTTATGAAACAAAAGCACACTAAATCACATAATTTTACCTTCTTTATATTACGTTACTCTTAGCGTAAGCATTTGAGTGTTACCAAATTAAATAAAGTAATTGGCCATATCAAATCTCAGTTCCAGATTTTAATTTTATATATTTAACAGTATGTTGAAACGTGAAATTAATTAGTGTTCTTAATAGTATGCTAGGATGCAAAATAAATTAAATGAGTGTCAGCCATTAAGTCTGAAAATAGATACTAAAAAACTATAAATAATATTATTCTATAGTATTTAGACTTCCTAGTTTCATTTTGCCGACACTCAAATAGTCTTTTTAAGATGTATTCTATATAGTATTTAGACTTCCTAGTTTCATTTTGCCGACACCCAAATAGTCTTTTTAATAGTATGATGAGATGTAAAATACTGTTAAGTTGATGATGCAACTATAAACAATCAAAGCATTTCTTAATTGTATGATTCAAAACTATTCGATACGTACGCAAGTATCTGGCAGATTTTTGTCTCGAAATCAGCACGAGATTGAATATATGACACGCCTAATTGTGGTCACACTGTTCGTGATTGATCGAAGAGATTAAGTATTAAGTAAATTTTCGTATCTACGTAATGAGGTAGTTAAAAAGTCAAAAAGTATTGTTAGAAGTTAATTATGAGGTAATAGATCAGAGTATATATGTAATTGATGACGTATGTGGAGAAAAAAATAACATTGTTTCTTCTGTGAACCGTCATTCGTTCCGGGTATATTGATCACACCGCAAAGATGAAAATTTCGGAGTGACCTGTCGAAACAACAATCATACAAACGTAAGGTGCCCTGTTGAATGGCATTCATACTGAGGACCTATCGGGACGAAATCATAATAGTAATACAGCAAAAAAATAATAATAAATGATACAATTTACTCTAGTTATAATGAAGTCTCCGGGCTGAGAAAGAAATCTTCTCTATTGCTTATATCGAGGGAATACTATATAATTCCTGAATAATGAGGGTGAGTGGTTGTTCGATATACAGGATAAAACTGCATATGTTTTCATAGTATGATATCTAGTAATGAGAGACAAAATAAGTTACAAATTACACTGGTATGTTTTTAAATAGTAAAATTTCTTTGATATAATGCCATTTTTATTTAGTGCGTCCACTATATTAGAAACTCCTTTTTTAACATATAACCTACATAAGCCTTGCCATTTTGTCATATAAAATGAGTCTCTACATTGTGAGACCGGAAGCGTGACCTGATAGCAGGCACGTACCCGCGTAATTTGGGAATTCCAAATTTAGGATTACTGGGCGAATTCTGCGAATTTGAAGAATAAGATATATAGGAGGAAAGTGCGTATAGTATATAATGATTATGAGGGATAAAGTGATTACATGAGATATGATGATTATATTAGTTATAGTGCGGATAAAAGTAGCCAATTTCATAATTATAAATAAAGGTCATTCTGGGCCTTCGGGAAGAGCAATTCCCGCTTTACTGAAACAATAAAATATTAAGTCATAAATATAATTCGTTCATTTAACCACTCGTCAAATCTAGCACGCCACTTTCGACCCAAATCCGGTTGCTGCGAAACGATCGACGACTAGCTTTGAGCTAACAACAAGTGGTGTCATTCTGTGCATTTCCATACCAACCCGTACAACATACCGTTCACTTTTTTTCATAGGTTTCCTATTTATGATTTGATGAAAGTGTGTAATTTTGGAAAGAGTTTGATTAAGTTTAATGTCTCATCAATTGTAATTTCAAGACCAATGCAATGTGAAAAATCATATGTAAAAAATTGTTAAACATGTATTTAAGAAAATGAACACTTTATGGTAAAGTATATAATAATGGGACTAAGCTGAGGCATGCATTTAGAGAGGTTTTCCATAGAACACAGTATGCATTTGGAGAAATTACGCCTAGAAAGTTCCAGTCTATTATCATAAACTTCTAATATGGGCTGCCGTCAATAGAAATCAGATCTAAAAATCAATGCCTTAAGTTTCACAGCTTATATCTCGATGTATTTTGAAGCTATCTTGATAATTTAATATCAAAAGAAAGCTTAGATCGTAAGCTTTCTTTGAATATTAAAACATCGACATAGCTTTAAAATTCAATGAGATATGAGCTGTGAAACTTAAGGCATTGATTTTTTTCAAACGTAGATCTGTTTGATTTCTATTGACGGCAGCCCATATAATTAATATTTTCCCGAATTTTCAACGATTTTCTTAAAATTAGAATAGTGAACATGGCTCGAGTCGAGCTGCATTCACCCCTAACAACAATAACTTTCACTAACATACCTTTGTTTAAAAAGAAAAAATACATTTGATAGGACAACTACTTTCTAATTTTTGTAATAATTTAATACTTGTTGAATCCTTTATGATTTTACTAATTAAATTTACATACAATATTTCCTGTTACCGTTAGGGATGGGTTCGGTCGGTTACGGTCGGTTATCGGTCGGCTATTACCTGCTAGCCGGTCATAGTCGACTAAGCCGCAGCTTAGTCGTCGGCTAAATAGTCGGTTATAGTCGATAAATTATTTAATCAATCATTTAATCAAATATCCAAATAGTCAACAAATATTATATATTAGTTTATATTTTTGCTATAGCGATAGGAGGCTATTTGGACTCATCAAGCGTGTCGATCGTAGGGTTGTTAACTTACATGTAAATTTACTGTATGTAAATTTATTGTAACTGACGTAAATTACCTTGTAAGTTATGTAAGTTACGTACGTATGAAATTTTAATACTTGTAATAAAGAAAACAGAAATTACGTATAAATGACGTAAATTACTTGTTATCAGTTATATAAATTTCACTTAATGCCAGTAAAATTATCACATGATTCGACCAGCTTTAGTACATAAATTGTAACTTACACATGGGCCGTGTAAGTTACAGTAAATTACGGTGTAACTTACATGTAAATTATGTTGTCAGGTAAGTTTTAACAACCCTAGTCTCATGCCGATCTTTGTCAACACAATCTAGTTCTGGTCAAATTTGCAGATCATTAGGCCTGAAAAATCCAGAACTTTCCAGTCAAATGATCTGCAAATTTGCCCAGAATTAGATTGTTTTGACAAAGATCGACACGTAAAAGTCAATCATTAAAATTGCAGATCATTTGACCAGATTAAAATTGGTTGTTCTAGATCTGGCCAAATGATAAGCAAATTTGACCAGAATTATGAATGATTGGTCCTCTATTTATTAGACAATGTAGATCCGCCAATGTGTTTTCATGTCGAATACAGTATAATATATACAATTATTTTGTAATTTATTAAGATATAGACCGCGGCTAGCCGGCTATGCCGATAATAGCTAGCCGATAGCCGACCGTAGCTAGCCGAATCCATCCCTACTCCAAACACCTATACCAAGAACAGTCATTTCTACCGCGAAAAGCAAGTCATATTTGCAACCCAATTCTCTCTCTCAGAAATCTGATATGTTTAAAATAAGCACTAAATTCTATTATATTGACGGCCTGCCTACATTATGCAGGAGAAAACTACTATTCAGGGTTAATTCCCAATTTAGCGACCTCTAGAATTAGAAATTTTGCGCTACATAAAAACAGGTAATGACGTGTCATGAAAAAATGTTGTTTGTTTCAACGCCAATCAGCTTTAAGATTTTTATTCTTCAGTAAAACCATCCACTCACATAACCTATCGTTTATTGATGGGACTAACACAATAGTCAGCTTTAATATTTGCCTTCGATTTATTCTTCAGTAAAACCATTCATCACGTTTCTGGTATTCTCTGCGAACGAAGTTGTCTATGAAGTAATTGTTGGTGAGTTGATACTACTAATTAAAATATTAATAAAAAATCATGTATCTAGATAAATCGCAATAAACGCAATTTAAATTTTAAGGCGGTTTGTTGATAGTATAGGGAATAGTTTATGTGTTCTCGCCTGATTTCGTTCCATCATATGATATTATGTACTACAAATCTCAGAATAACACGAATAGCAAATCCGGTATACTCAGTACTGTAGCAGTATGCTAAGCACAGCACACTAATACAGTCATACCTGAGTTATATCACCCTTTTTTCCAGAGCGTTTTTGGAGGGTGGAGATATAACTCAATATACAAACCATATAAAAAAAGGAATTTTATTCTGCTAAAAAGCGGGGATATAACTAAGGTATGACTGTATGTGAAATCATAGATTTTTAACGCCCAATCAAAATGCAAAATTTTGCGAACTCGCCGTTCTAGATGGCAGGAAACCATGAATTCCGTGATGCAAGCATTACTACGTTCCTGGTAGATTGCTGATAGATGGCTCCGTTTTGTACAATATAAAAGGAAATATGGCGGATCATTGGTAAAGGAGAATAAAAAGAAGATCTACATCAACCATTAAGCTTAAAGGAAATATGGCGGATCATGGGTAAATGGGAATCCAATAAAAAGAAGATCTGCTCAAACTTTAAACATAAAGGAAATATTGCGGATCATGAATAAATGAGAATCCAATAAGAAAGAAGATCTGTATCAAACCTTAAACTTAAACGGAAACGATCTACTGTATGCTGGCAAAAATTGGAGTAAGCATAGTGTAGTACAAGCACTTACATATGCCATTATTGTGCCTTATAAATTGCCTTTATGGCTATCTGAACAAATTTTAACTTTGACGGAAATTATATCATACAATGGCAGTACGTATTTCACCGACCGCATGGGATATTGAAGATAAATCATCATTTATTAACATAGATTCAAGTGGACTTGAAGTGAGCTATATGGGTAAGATAAAAAATGAACAATAGGTTTATAAATGAAATATCTCGATTTAATAGGTGTTAATAGTTAAAAAATGCTAATTTATTAAAA